ACTCACTCCTCTCTGTCTCGGAGGGCGCGGAAGGGTGCGTGTGTCGTCCCCGGGCTACACCAATCCCTTCCCCCTCTCTCGCCAGACCCCCGGCAGAACGGACCCCCGTGGAACGCTCCGCTTTCCCTGGTCCCTTCTGTCGGGGAGCGGGCTTCGACGCATCCGAGCGGGGTAACCCCTGCACGCGTGCCAGTCGACCCGCCACGCTGCCCTCCGGGGGGACGTCTGTGGTTCACATGACCCCGTTGGCTCACTTCCTGGAAGCCTGGCTAGCGCTTCCCGGGGTATCCCGCTGGGTCATCAGAACGATCAGATTCGGCTACGCGATTCAGTTCGCACGGTCTCCTCCCCGTTTCAGGGGAGTTCGCTCCACGATAGTCGGTGGCAATGCCCCAGTCCTGAGAGCGGAGATTGCGACCCTGCTGGCGAAGGGTGCAATCGAGACGGTCCCTCCAGCCGAGGTGGAGTCCGGGTTTTACAGCCCCTACTTCATTGTCCCAAGAAGACCGGTGGGTTACGACCGATCCTGGACCTGCGCGTTTTGAACCGTTCTCTCCATCGACTACCGTTCAAAATGCTCACGGCCAAACGCATTTTCGAATGTGTTCGGTATCAGGATTGGTTTGCAGCGATCGACCTGAAGGACGCGTACTTCCATGTGTCCATCTTACCTCGACACAGACCGTTTCTTCGGTTTGCCTTCGAGGGCCAGGCATTTCAGTACGCCGTTCTCCCATTCGGGTTAGCTCTGTCCCCTCGCGTCTTCACGAAGATCGTCGAGGCAGCCCTTGTTCCCCTTCGCGAACACGGGGTTCGCATCCTGAATTATCTCGACGACTGGCTGATACTAGCACACTCTCGAGCTCAGCTTTGCGAACACAGAGACTTGGTGCTCCGGCACCTAGCCCGTCTGGGCCTTCGGGTCAACCGAGAAAAGAGCAAACTTTGCCCCGTGCAGAGGATCTCTTTTCTCGGCGTGGAGTTAGACTCAGTCGCCATGTCCGCGCAGCTCACGATCGAGCGCGCGCACTCACTGCTGACTTGTCTTCGTCAGTTCGAGGGCAAGAGTGCGGTTCCACTGAAACTTTTTCAGAGGCTCCTGGGGCATATGGCATCCGCGGCCGCGGCAACGCCGCTCGGTTTGCTTCATATGAGACCGCTTCAGCTGTGGCTTCGCGATCGAGTCCCGAGGTGGGCATGGCATCGCGGCTCGCTCCGAGTCCCAGTGACTCCGACATGCCGGCGAACCTTCTTCCCGTGGTCGAACCTCAGCTTTTTACGGACGGGCGTCCCTATTCAGCGAGTTTCCAGGCATCTCATCGTCTCCACGGATGCATCTACCACGGGTTGGGGTGCCATGTGCAATGGGCATGCAGCCGCCGGCTCCTGGACGGGGGCCCAGCGCCTCATGCACATCAATTGCCTCGAGCTGCTGGCAGTACGGCTCGCCCTGCACCGCTTCAGAGCGTTGCTCAAGGGCCAGCATGTGCTTGTCCGCTCAGACAACACTACGGCTGTAGCGTACATCAACCACCAGGGGGGTCTACGCTCGCGCCGGTTGTCGCAGCTCGCCCGCCACCTCTTGATATGGAGTCAGAAGCACCTGAGGTCCCTTCGTGCAGTTCACATTCCTGGAGACCGGAACTGGGCAGCCGACGAGCTGTCTCGGGTCCGCCCTATCTCCGGCGAGTGGCGACTCCATCCCCAGTCGGTCCAGCTGATCTGGAAAGAGTTCGGGGAGGCACAGATAGATCTGTTCGCCTCCCGGGACTCAGCCCACTGCGCCCAGTTTTATTCTCTGACCTGGGGCACTCTCGGTTCGGATGCGCTGGCGCACAGCTGGCCACGGGGCCCACGCAAGTATGCGTTTCCCCCAGTGAGCCTCCTTGCACGGGTGTTGTGCAAGATCAAGGAGGACGAGGAGCAGGTCTTGCTGGTAGCCCCCTACTGGCCCACCAAGACGTGGTTCTCCGATCTCATGCTCCTCGCGGCAGCACCTCCTTGGCCTATTCCTCTGAGACAAGACCTACTCTCTCAGAGACGGGGCACTCTGTGGCACCCTCGTCCCGATCTCTGGAGGCTGCACGTGTGGCTCCTGGACGGGACGAGGCAGGTTTGAGTTCGCTGCCACCTGCGGTGGCGGCAACCATCACTTCCGCAAGAGCGTTGTCCACGAGACACCTTTATGCGTTGAAGTGGAACCTCTTCGTCAATTGGTGCTCTTCTCGCGGAGAAGACCCCCGGAGATGTTCGATCAGTATCGTGCTTTCCTTCCTGCAAGAGGGGTTGGAGCGCAGGCTGTCGCCCTCCACCCTTAAGGTTTACGTCGCGGCCATTGCCGCTTCTCATGAAGCAGTGGAAGGTAAGTCCTTAGGGAAGCACGACCTGGTCATCAGGTTCCTGAGGGGAGCGAGGAGGCTGCATCCGCCTCGTCCTCCCCTCGTACCCTCTTGGGACCTCTCGGTAGTTTTAAGTGCTCTGCAGAGGCATCCCTTTGAGCCTTTGCAATCAGTAGAGTTAAAGTTTCTGTCCATGAAGACAGCACTCCTGGTTGCATTGGCCTCCATCAAGAGGGTGGGGGACCTGCACGCATTCTCCGTTGACGAAGCGTGCCTGGAGTTCGGGCCGGCTTACTCTCACGTGATCCTGAGACCCCGGCCTGGATATGTGCCCAAGGTTCCCACCACTCCCTTCCGGGACCAGGTGGTGAACCTGCAAGCGCTGCCCCCGGAGGAGGCAGACCCAGCCTTGGCACTGCTCTGTCCGGTACGTGCTCTCCGCACCTATGTCGACAGAACGCAGTGTTTCAGGACCTCGGACCAGCTCTTTGTCTGTCATGGAGGGAGCCAGAAGGGAAGGGCTCTCTCAAAGCAACGGCTGTCCCACTGGATAGTGGATGCCATTGCTTTGTCTTACCAGCAGCAAGGCCTTCCGTGCCCCCTTGGTGTGACGGCCCATTCCACTCGGAGTGTAGCCTCCTCTTGGGCTTTAGCGCACGGCGCCTCGCTAACAGACATCTGCAGAGCTGCAGGCTGGGCGACACCCAACACCTTCGCCAGATTCTATAATCTGCGAATTGAGCCGATATCCTCTCACGTACTCGTTTCGGCCAGTTCTGGATCCGCTCAGGTGTCTTCGCTTGCTCGCCACTCCACTCCCCGGACTGGATAAGTGCGATATTCCTCAGTTCTTCCTTTGAAGTCTTGAGTCCTCCAGCACCGACGATGCGGGCACCACTGCGTGGCTCTGGATGCTAGCTAGGTGCCTCCATGCGCACGGTTCCCCATGGTAACCGTCTCATGTGTATTATCCACTGTAAGCCTCTCTGAGCATGTGTCTTCCCTTGGCAAGCCATCTGCCACCCCTGGAGTTTAAATCAGTAGCCACCTGCGGTTGGTACTCCAGTGTTCCATATGTGTCCCTATGTGGCCATATGTGTATTCTTAAGTCCTCCCTTCGGTAGGCAGCTGGTAGCATGTCCCCTTCGGGATATGTTTCCCAGTGTACCTTGGTAATCCTGTGTCAAAGTCGGATCCCAAAAAAAAAAAAAAAAAAAAAGAGGTAAGGCTCGGGGGTTCAGTCTTTCGCAGGGCACTGGAAGACAGCTTGAAGATGGCGTGATGGCACAGACCCCCAATCTCCGTCACTTCTGACGTAACTCGAAGTGACTACGATAGGGAACGTCTCGGTTACGTATGTAACCCTCGTTCCCTGAGTAAGGGAACGGAGACGTTACGTCTCCCTGCCACTTCTGCTGTATCGCTGGGTAGAGGCCGAGTTCAGTCTTGGCTCCTCAGCGAAGACATACTGCGGTTGCGTTCACTTCCTCCTTTTATACTCACGGAGTAGGGCGGAGTACGCTATGCAAATTTCCGCAGCCCCAAGGCATTGCATGCCATTGGCTCGTGTTTTAATACTCGAAGAGGATTGGCTTTCTATGCGAAACCCCCAATCTCCGTCACTTCTGACGTAACGTCTCCGTTCCCTTACTCAGGGAACGAGGGTTACATACGTAACCGAGACGTTCTACACATTCCTTAAAAAATGCTTGGGAGGAGGAACTGGGTATTCAGATTGGGGCTGAAGTGTGGGAGGAAAGCCTTAGCAGGGTTCGTTCTTGTTCTATTAACTCCAGACATCAGTTAATTCAATTTAAGGTGATGCATAGACTGCACTATTCAAAATCTAAATTACACAGAATTTTCCCCACTATTTCTCCTACATGTGACCGTTGTAAATCTGCAGAAGGCTCTCTTACCCATCTCTTTTGGACATGCCCTAAGCTTTACGAGTTTTGGTGTAAGGTCTTTAAGTGGTTCTCTGACATGTATGGTTTTGTGCTTAACCCTGATCCAGAGATTGCATTATTTGGATATTCTCTCTCTTTGTCAGACCATAGTGTCTCTGTACAAAGCACTATTATTTATGGAATGATTATTGCCAAGAGCATCATTCTAAGACTCTGGAAATCAGATACTGTTCCTCAGTTCAAGACCTGGTTGACTCAACTCACTGGAATACTCCACATGGAGAGAGTACGGTATGGAATTATGAGTAACCTTGATAAATTTTACAACATATGGCAACCATTTCTGGATCATCTTACCCAGTTCAACGCAAACTCTGATCAGTAATGTATGCTCTGCCCTCCACTCAATTTTTTATTGTGCTCCCTTACTGAAATTGTATATGTCCTGGTTGCTTTTATTTATCAGTTGATTCCTTTTTATTCGTTTTTTTTTTATTTATTTTCTATTTTAGTTCTATATTATTGTTATTAATGGTGGATGATATTAATAATTATTCATTCTGTTGTTTCTGCTGATATTATCATCCATTGAGTTGTATACATCTAAATGTATTTTGTTTTCTTTTGCTTTTTTGTAAAATTTAAAATCCTAATAAAAATACTTATTAAAAAAAAAAAAAATAGTGACAACATCATCATACTATTTCGGAACATAATATTTCTTTCTGAATTATATATTTTATATTCTGAATTATATATTTTATATCTGAATTATATTATTATAGAGCTGACGGTCACTTCAAAACATTAATTTACACTGACCCAAAACCCAAAAACTGAGCTTACAGTACCTAAAACAATAACACTATTATACAGTAGAAAAATCTTTGAAGAACCATTTGTCCTGAATGTTTAACCCAGCATCCCTTATCTTCCAATATTCTGTATTAATGTTTTTGATTTCATGTTTTCATTCAGTATCTCGTTTTCAAAAGATCTGCTACACTTCTTGAGATAACTGTTAACTTTGCATCAGGTGAGGTCTGGAAATTTTTGCTAGTTGACTGAACCTGTTGTCCAGATTGATAAGCATCTCTGAATGAAATTCATTCTCTGGAATAGAGAGGGCATCCAGTTCGGCATTGTCCATAGCTTGTCCTTCATCTGCGTAGCAGTGCGGCTCATAAACAACAAACTCCTCATCACGGGTTTGGAGGGCAAGTAGTTTCTGAAGAGAAGAAGCGGGGAAGGAAAGCGCAATGAAAATGGTTGACCATCCTGTCAAACATTTGGACATGTTTCTTATGCTCTAAAGTTTTTAAATGCTTCTTTTCGGCTCTTTTCGTTTACACCTCTCTCACACATTTTTATTTGTATATACAGTATATATATATATATATATATATATATATATATATATGTGTGTGTGTGTGTGTGTGTGTGTGTATTTTTCCTCTTTAACCTTCCCTTGTTCATCTTTATTTCAAAATCAGATTTATTTTTTTTATTTAGTAACAACACACGAGTGTTTTTTTTTTCCAAGACGTCGGTTTATTTTTGATTGTTTAAGTATTGTTTGCTTGGTTTGCATAATTTCTTAATGCATAAGAATGTGTACAGTCCTCTGATTAGTAGTGTATGTTTAAAGAAGCATAAAATCACCTTGTTGATCACAACAGCAAGGTTGTTGCTCAGGGAAGCCACATTGCCGTAAAAAGCCCTTGATCTGATACTCGATCGCTGCTTAAAAAAACACAGATTATGATGTAAGAAAGGCTGAACTGATGTTTGCATTTGTTATTAATTATTACTGTCACTTCATTCTTACTTTGAAATTTTCTCTGTATGAACTTCTTGTGGAACTCTAGAAAACACACATGGCAGACACAGACCATCACCAAACAAATGACATAACCAAAAACTTTGGAAACTTGCTGTTATGTGGTTGTAATACTCACTCTATGTATTGAGCGTCTGAACATCTGATCGGTGAAGACTGGCTGTACAGCCTCCTGTTTTTTATGTATCACCTGGATATTTTGAAGCAACATGAAACAAGAAAAGTTACATCTCCTGTACAGTATACTGTACGATAGCAAACAGGATGCAGAATTTCACTTTAAAGGAATAAAATTTAACTGCTTTTAACTGTATTTTGATTTGAATTTTTCAGTTTGAATTACTCAAGAAGAAATAATCATACACATAACATACAGAAAAATTTCCAGAAATGTCAGATATTATTTATGTTTGAAATAATTTGAAAGATAAATATTATTTAATGCTCTAATTAACCCCAAAGTCAAACATGAAGAGCTGTATATATTGTTACTCACGGTTTGTGATGTGACCGTCTGGCTTGAATTTACATTTGTAGACACATTTATGCAAGTATTTACGATGGAAGAATCTGTTTTCTGAATGCCTATACTGGAAGGAACCTTTATGAAGACATCCTGATGATTTAAATTAAAACAATCATTTAAGACAACAATGAATCATTTCACAAGATGTAAACAACACTGGTCCAGAAACACTACCTGTTTCAGTTTGCAACTGTTTTCTTTATTTCACATGTAAAGAAAACATCTTAAAGATGTTTGTTTAACTTTTTGATTCAGTTTTAAATGTTCTGTTGGTTGTATTTTATCCCAGCTTTTATGTAGTGTTAAAAAACTGAAACAGGAAGTGCTTCTGGACCAGTGTTGTTTACATCTTGTGAAATGGTCTATAAATATTAGTTACACTTATCAATACTTTACTCTTTACAATAAGGTTCGCTTAATTATTATTTGTTAATGAATTAGGTAGCATGTACAATGAACAATAGTTTTTTTTACAGCATTACAGCATAGTTTTTAAACTTAATGTGGTAACAATTTATTTTACAGTGTTTCTTACACACTAGTTACTGTAATTGTATTATACAAATAACAAGAACTATGCATAATTTCAATCTTGTCAAAAAATGTCATATCAAGTAGCAATTCTTGAGCATCAAATCAGCATATTAAAATGATTTCTGAAGGATCATGTGACACTGAAGACCTTAAAATTCAGCTTTGATCATAGGAATAATTTACATTGGAAAGTATTTTACAATTTAGTATTTTAAAATTATCATTAAAGGAGCCGCAAGATTGTGGCCAAAACTGGTACTGTTTTGTGGCCTTTACGAAAATTAATATGATTAATTGAAATACATTTCTTGCACACAGCTCCTTTAAATGAACAAATACTGTAAAAAAAAACTGTTCATTATTTCATGTTATTATGTAATTTAGACATATAACCTTGTTGTAAAGTGTTGCCTAAAACTGAATAAAATGCACCAATTCAAATATTACTGAAGGACCACTACTGTGGGTTGCGTAATGAAATTACCATGCAGTCTGTTCCTGGATTTTCTGTATTTGTTTTGATGAGACAACCAACGCCATCGTCCATTTCAATAATTTTTTTATCTGCCTTGCAGGAGATCAGAAGGACCATTAAGCACATTGCTGAAAAAAGAGAGAATTTCTGTTTACCTTGGTACAACCGTGGTTGGATTATCAGTGGAAGACTGCCAGAGATGGTTAGTCATAGTGGAAAGGTTGAGTGTTTATGCACCATACAGAGAATCTTGCATTGATTCAATCAGTACCGGAGCCCCAGGGTCCAGACACACAACTTCAGTCTCCTATGGAATTGGGTGCCATATTGTCCCATCCATCTGAGACAATAGGTCCCTAAAGGGGCAACGGATGAGGTGGAGCCGTTCAGTCTCCTGGTAACCAGGAAACTGAGAAAAAAAAAAAAAAACATTGTTGGACAATAGGGAGCTATTAGTAGCCTGTGCTGTCTCTCCTGCACACGTCTCAGGAATGCCCAGATCAGAGGAAGAGGAGGGTAAGCATATAGCAGGAGATCTGGCCACACATGAGCTAGGGCTTGTACTTGAATTAGTACTTGATTCTTCTCAACCATAGGTAACAAAGTGTTATTGTCCTGCTGGCAAGGAGGTTCAATGACACCATCCCATATCTCTCCCAAATTGATCAAACCACTGCTCTGTAGAGACACCCATCCACTGAGCTCAGGCTCCAGCGAGAAAGGGAATCCGATAAACTCTTGGTCTGACCAGGAATATTTATTGCTCTAATTGGCAGGTTTCTGTCTGCAAGAAGCAACAATGCTGATGATTGATGAGAAACACTAATATGATATTGTATGTTTTCACTAGTATCTGCCTCCTGCAAGTCCCTGTCTGAAAAGATAAAGGGTAATAAATTCCACCCATAACTCAAACAGATTGATATTACATACCCTCAGTCATGAAGTTGAGTTTTTCAAGGCGACCATTATTTAGAACTTGTCACTTTTATCATAATGTTTCAATGGTGATGTGTCATTGCTTATCACATGACACAATGCAACCACAACACAGCACTGAATGAATGATGATCTCCTATATTTAATTTTTCCAAAAATTTACAAATGTATTAGCTATATAAATAAAAATCAGCAAAAATCAAAATCATTTATGTGTGTTGAAATATATGAAACCTAAAATAATCTTTATGTGGTTGAAAACACTCACTAGTTACAATATATGACAGCACTGGCTCAGCGCCAGCCAACATTTGAATTTAGAAGTTGATCACGTGACATATAGCCTAGTGGATGCAGTGCAGAGCAGTCTTCTACGTTTCTATCAAAAACTAATAAATTATAGTTTTTTTATTATTTAAAATAAAAGTGATTCCTAAGGAAATGTTTACTGTTCATGTTTTTTTTTTATTGTATGGAAAAACCCACTTAAAAAAACAGACCGCCATTTTTTTTACTCTCGCGCACCCCCTGGTGGCAGATCGTGTACCCCTGGGGGTCCGTGTACCACACTTTGGGAATCCCTGCCATAGTAGATGAAGGACTGCTGAGGCAGCAGTTCAGTCATGGGAATTTGATATAGAGTTTCTGGGAACTTGGAACCTTGCTACAGCCTTTTGTTCACTGCGTGAGCTGCCCTCATTGATCTGGAATCCAGGTGCATACCCAGAAAATACATTGACTGATAAAGAACAAGACAGCTTTTCTGCAGATTCATCTTCAGCCCTAAGGCTTCAACCTACAACAAGTAGGTGCAGTGTGTTGTTGTTGGCTGCTTGTCAATGTGTAGAATCCCACTCGTTCCTCTGCAGAGGTAGCTTCAAATGCTACCTGAATACATTGTGTGAACACACATGAAAGAGAAAGTCCAAAGGGAAGGACACAATGTTGGTATGTTCTGCCCTGGAATGCCTGAATGTAATTTGGATGTGCAAATATGCATCCTACATGCCGGGTTCAGCAGCAAGCAATACATCTACCACACAGCATAACATGCAGATAACATGCAGAAAGGAAGATGTCTGAGGTGACTGAGCATCTGATGCCAAGGATTGGTCTGAAATTCCCATCCTGTAACTGAACAATAAAGTATTTTGAATGGAAGCCCCTGGGTTGGATCTGAAGCAAGAGCCTGGCAAAGGTCCCAAACTACTTTGGGCCAATACAGGTACACAACAGGGGTCTATTACTGACTTGAAGACAATAACTGTTTTCTAGTGTATCGAGGAGCCACACAATGTTTGTAATGTTTTCCTGTAGCTGTACAGTTTTCCTGTAGTGCTCCTGTAGCTTTCCTATAGCTCAAGCAGTAGAGCGTTGCCGATTGCAGCGCAAGGTCATGTGTTTAATTCCAAGAACTGATAAGAATAGCTTATAATGCAATTGGATAAAAGCATCTGCCAAATGCATAAATGTAAATGTAATGTCCCTCCAATGTTGTATTCTGAGAGACTGAAAAATGGACTGTCACAGACCCTGTGGCATCAACGGTGGCGAAGGGCATTTTTCCTATATACAGACGAAAAAACCTGAATAACCAATAAGTCATTCAAGTCAGATAAATCCATGCAGATAAATTCACTGCGGGGATTGCCAAACAATCTGTGCACATTCAAGCATGATCCTTTTGTGAGAATGACAAAGCAGACCATGATAAACGATAGCATATATGGATTCCAGTATGTCATCGATAAGAGTGTGACTGGATCAATATGGGATTCTCATACATGTATGCTAGTGCACAAACTTTTCCACTATGATTCACCATCTTTGGTGGTCTGGACCAATAAAATAGATGTGTATTTCTCAAAAGCATTTGTCATTTAAAAACCGGTCTCTACAGGTTTTCACAGCATTTTTGTTGTTGTTTTACCACATCTTTAATGGTTGGATTGACTTGTACAGAAAGATGGGTTTTTAATATTATGAAACTGTTCGCAAAATCTTTTATCATCTATTAGGACTATTAATACCATCAAAACATTTTAAATCACTGCATTACCAATGAAGATCAGAACTGTAAGAACAACAATCCAGGCTGCAGCAGGTCCCATTTGAGCCATCCGAGCCATCCTGACATGGCAGTTGGGAGCGATAGAGCAGTCACACACTGTGACAGACAGGTTTTGGATGGAGGACAATCCCTGCTGGTCTAATATTTTGATCTGTAGGAGGTGATGACCTGAATACACACTGTGTTCTTTTACAAGACTCACTGTTGTGCCTTCAAGAGAAAAAAAAAGTTACTTGTTAGCTACCGCTAAAAGATACAAAAACACAACCCCAAAGAGGTGGTGGAAGAGCGCTGTCTTTCTAAGAGATCTCTGGCATTACTTGCCTAGAGTAAGGGTGTCCAATCCTGCTCCTGTCGATCGACTGTCCTGCACAGTTCATCTCCAACCCTAATCAAACACACCTGAAGTAACAAATAAAAGGCACTCTATGCAAGATCTGTACCTTAATATAACAGCTTCAAAGTCGTTTCGGTGGCTAACAAAGTCATAGTAGGGCGAATCATCCTGGTAGTAGAGCTTGGGGGGGACGCCGCCAGAAAAACCAGCCATGCAAGTTTGAGAGCGGCGCCCCTGACACATCTCGCGAGAATCACGAAATGGTTTACGCCAACTACGTCACATACATCAACAACAACATACTGTGTGAAGCTACTTGCGCGCATCCAAGACAACTCGTTCAGAAATGTTTAGAAAAAGGAAAAGAGAATCGGACCGTGCTAGAAACCGGACAGGAGTTCACTCGGTCAGGCTTTCACTCGTTGGCGCGAGCTAAAAAGCAGCACTGGATTGTAACTGCGACGCTGACCTGCCGATCTTGTGATGGAGTTGTAAGTAAATCTCTTATTTGTAAACTTGTTTGCGTTCTATGTTGTATGTTGCTGCACTAGCTTGTAGTTTGTCATTTTTTACGGTGCTGTTCATTCATCCGTTGTTGATAATTAGACCAGTTCAATAATTCCCACACGTCTAGCTAGCTTTCGTTTACCAAAGCTATAACAGACTTCCTAACAAACAGTCGTTTCTCTTAGTTTTTTTTTTTTTTTTTCGTTATGTTTTATTGCCGAGGTTGCCACAAGAGCTAGTTTGCCAGCTGAACTCAGGTGTTGTGATGTGTATCACGTAACGTTAGTCCTGTGTCTGGTTCGGATTTCTTATGTCGTGCGTAAGTTACTGTTATATAAACTTTATCTGACTAACAGTGCACTTCCCGACTGTAATTTTTCTTCAAATTGTGTTGATTATGAATCAATTAAATCTTGACGCTGTTGATGTTGATTCCTGTGATTATCATGAGGACATATATTAGGACTTATATAAGCCTAGAGGTTGTAAATAGTGTAATTGAACACAATTTGCTAAATATTATGATAAATTGTAATAATCATGTCTAATTAAATCATAACGACCAATGTTATGAAATAATGCGACGTACATTTAACTTTATTGATGTCATCTGACATTTTGTAATGTTTACATTAAAATCAAAAAACCCAAATGAAATTATACATTAGTCCTACACTATAGGCTATTTACTTGTGACTTAGCAGAAATTATGTAAAAACGTTATAAGCCAGCAAACGCGATAGGCAACTTTATTATTATAAAGTAGTCTAACACTTGACAGTAGTTCAGTAGATATGCAGTAACAGGGGAATAACGGTTGTTTACGACAGTGCAAGTACACCACAGTGGCTCTAGAGGTGACTGTTTTACAAAAAAATAGAGAGTGCATAGTGTGGCTTTAAGAAAAATGAAAGGCATTTTTGTTTGACTAGGGTTGGATATGAATTGTGCAGGACAGTCGATCGGCAGGAGCAGGATTGGGCACCCCTGATATAAATAACATAACATAACACTGTTCAGATAACTTATTTTACTTCTGATTGAAACATTCTCAGCACATTCAGTGAGGAATAGTATAGGGTGGATTGGGATGAGTAAAGTAGATGGTCGCATTACCATAGTTTGGTTCAACTCTCCATTTGTCCTTAACATCTCCTAAAAGCTCATAGTGAAAAGGTGAACTATGTGGAGGAAGGTCCAGGTCTACAGCTGTGATTTTGGCCACTGTGGGCTCAGTATCCAGACACATGTTGACTGCGTTCACTTCCAACATTGGTACGTTATCATTTTGATCATTCAGGTGAATAAATAGAGTTCCAGTCCCTGTCAGGGGTGGGACACCTGCCAATCGTAGACATGGGCTTATACATAAATTGATATGGAGTACAAACGTCTTGGTTACTGAGGTAACCCTTATTCCCTGAAGAAGGGAACGGGAGACGTGACGACGTTAGGGGATCACTTCAGGGAGCCCCATCAACTTCGAGTATCTACAGAACGAGCCAATGAACGTTGGCGTGCGTGAGAAGCGTCATGCGCCCCGCAGCGTGGATAAACACAGGAAGTGGGCGCACACACTCAATCTTTTTCGCTGAGGAGCCAAGATTGTGACGGCCGTACAGCGATGGTCAGCAACTGTGGCGGTGGGACATCACGTCTCCCGTGTCACATCCTGCCTGAAGGGAGGAAACATGTGGACAATACACATATGGACTGGCCGGAGGGGCAGTGCAACATATGGAATGTCACTGAGGTGGCTCCAGCCTGAAGGGGGAGGCTACACCGGACAGTGACGGCAGAGCAGACTCTGCCAAGGGATGACACGGTCCCTTGTTCAAAGGAAACACCTGCCCGCAGGAACGAATGGTCCAACCACAAGCTGAGAGTTTGGTGACAGTGCGGGGGTTATTTGGACCTGGCACAAGCCGCTCTGCCACGCCCATCGCGGGACTCGATCGTGGAGCCAGTGTTGTAGCGGTCTCATATGAACCAATCCGAGCGGCGTTACCGCGGCTGAAGATGCCATATACCCAGGAGTCTCTGAAATAGTTTCAGTGGTGTCGCTGTTCTGTGTCTGAGCGTGCTCACGCATTTCAACACTGAGTGGATGCGGGCCTCGGTTAGGCAAGCTGTCATGTTGATCGAGTCCAACTCCATACCGAGAAAAGAGATCGTCTGCCAGAGGATGAGTTTGCTCTTTTCCAAGTTGACCCGAAGCCCTAAGTGGCTGAGGTGACTGAGAACCATGTCCCTGTGTATGGCGCTTATGAGGCGTGAGGGACCCATGGAGATTGCCTCGGCGGGGAAGCCCTCACGGCAATCCTCAGATCACCCTGACCATGCACCGAGCGTCCACCGAGACCGACACACACAGACATACACACACACACACAATGCTGTGAAAACAGCAGATGTGAGCTGTAATGCTCGCGCCCACTGCTGATCGCGCCTTCACACCAGCACTGGAACAGAGTATTCTCCTTTCTTTAGTCTCCAACTATTCAGCAGTCTGTAGAAACTCAGAGTCAAAATGAAATCTCGGCTCCGAAGTGAGAGACATTGAGTGTGTGCGCCCGCTTCCTGTTTATAACTGCACTGCGGGGCAGGGCACGTGACACTTCTCACGCACGCCAACGTTCATTGGCTCGTTCTGTAGATACTCGAAGTTGATAGGGCTCCCTGAAGTAATTCCCTAACGTCGTCACGTCGACGGCATCTTTGCTGAATAAAATTATTAATTTATTTAAAAAACTATAATCTTACCATCATCCACAGCATATAGGGTTGCTCTGTAGGTGCTGTTTATACCAAATGGCGACTCTCTGTCTAGAATTTTACTTGTGGATACTAGTCCAGTCTTTGCATCAACAGTTATCCACCCATCAATATCTTCACCTTTAACAAATCTGAGAATCGAAGAAACACCAGATAAATTCACCTTTGTTCATATGTGATCTTGTACCTCCAAAAAACTACAGTGGCATTAGTTTTACACGTATTATTAGCTTTTCGCACCTAAATGTGTTTATATGGCTTCCATCCATGTCTTTAGCAGTGAAGGTTGCAAGACTTGTTCCTGCTGCTATGTTCTCCATTATGTGAACGTGTTTAACAGAGGGTGTAAATACTGGAGGGTCGTTGACATCTTCAACATTAATGGTCACTGGAATGGTATTATAGAGGTTTTCAACACTCATGCCAGAGTTTTGGGGTATTTTGTCGAGCTCCCACATAGCATTCGGTACTTGCTTTTTGACCTTACATGAAAAGTAAGGAATTTCGTTCTGCACACTGATGGATAGATTTTGGTATGCTTGCTCCTCATAGTCCATTTGCTAGGTGTTGTAATGTAGGAATGAGCCAAAAAATAAAGATAGTTTAGAGAAGTGTCAACATGAATGTACGTGTGAATATTTTTCATATGTTTTTTTTTTATTTCAAAATAGTTCCTATCCCAGCAGATGCAACAATATAATGACAAGGTCAGTGCAAACTCTGATTCTAACATGATCAAAAAAATTTTGCCTACCTTAACAACAGTTAAAATCCCCTCGTTTGTATTAGGATCTGTTTCAATTTTGAACTGCTCTTTTTTATCTCCATAGATAGTGTATTTGGCTTTCCAGGCTTTTGAACCATATGCGTCTTTGTCTGTTACTTGCAGTCGCAGAACTTCAACTCCAGTTTCTCGCTCCTTGACCTTCCCAGATCCCTGAAACACAAGTCAAATATTTGGTTGGGTTTTATAGAACAATCTGTATTTAAATATTAAAACTTGGAAACTTCCAGTCCAATATGAAACCCACTGTTTTGCCAGAGAAACCTGGAAGATTGTTGTTTTCATCCAAAATATTGATTATCACTGTACTTGTACTCGACAATTGTATCTTTTCCCCTTTGTCCTTTGCTTCAACCAGGATTGTGTATTTCTGAGCTTTCTGGAAAAGATTAATTTAAAATATTTCTTGTGTAGGAATGGAGAAATATTTATAAATCACAAATAGAAATGCATGTTATCTGAATGTAATAACAGGTAAATCATTATTACCAATGAAAGAAATTAGTTTCATACCTCATAGTCCAAACACCCTCTAAAATAAACTGTCCCAGAACTTTGTCCTTTTTGCTGCTGAATATAAAATTCAACATTATCCGTTTTTGGTGTGAAAGACTTGATTGTTAAATCAAATGTTCCATTGTTTGTACTCGAATCATCTTCATCAAATGCTAGTACTGTCAGTACATCTTTACCTAGGGAAAAAATGTGAATGTAAAGTAATTTCTTCACCCTCTAACTTTATTTAATATTGAAGACATATATGATTTTACATTGTATTATATTGTTGCATACAATTGTACAATTACCTGCATGCAATTACATCTGTAATGAAATCTAGACGTATATTAAACTGGTATCGATCTATCTATCTATCTATATGTAGAGTATATATATTTATATATTTTTGCGAGATTTTTGCAAAATTTTTCAGAAATCCTCAATGACCAAATTCATGACTGGAAAAACAGTATGCAGGTGCATTTTACAATGTTTTAACTAATAATCTTTTTTTTATTATCTGTATATATACAGCCCCGACAAGCCCGCGCTTCACTTCCAGAGCCATTGTCATTTCCAGAGCCATTAGCTGTGTCCACAGGCAGATTTTTATTTTTAAAAGCCAGTTATTTCATGGATCCAGGATAATATGCATCCTGATAAAGTTCCCTTGGCCTTTGGAATTAAAATATCCCCACATCATCACACACCTTCCACCACACCTAGAGATTGGCATGGGGTACTTTCCATAAGATTATCTTTCAATGCAAATCAAACCAGCTATTAGGCTAACTGAAGTAAAACCATGCCAATCTCTAGGTGTGGTGGAAGGTGTGTGATGATGTGGAGATATTTTAATTCCAAAGGCCAAGGGAACTTTATCAGGATGCATATTATCCTGGATCCATGAAATAACTGGCTTTTAAAAATAAAAATCTGCCTGACTCTATGGGAATCTAACATAGGGGTGCCCAGACTTATGCACCCTGTATTTTAAGTAAAAACATTTATTTATTTATGATACATTATTCATTCACAAAGAAAATTGGTGTCCTTAAAGGTTGGAGTTTTCCTCATTTTTCTAATTAAGGCATTAAGATCAATATCCAAAAGATGATTTTTTTATTCCTCTTTAGCATGGGTCCCAAAACTTATTCATACCACTATATACATAGTGAGGAAAATAAGTATTTGAACACCCTACTATTTTGCAAGTTCTCCCACTTAGAAATAATGGAGGGATCTGAAATTGCCTGGAAATCCCTCCTGTGGTGTGTGCAAACCTGGTGAAAAACTACAGGAAACTTTTGACTACTGTAATTGCAAACACAGGCTACTGTATCAAATATAAACATTGTCTTTCTCAGGAGTTCAAATACTTATTTCCCTCACTATATATATATATATATATATATATATATATATATATATATATATAGCCAGAATTGTATATATACAGGCCTATTCTGGTGGGTGCGGTGAAGCGGTGGCGACTCATAACATGTAAGGGTGGCGTTGCCAATAAAGCACCTAAAAGCTGTCACAAAGAACCGGCAAAAGTAATGATTATGAATATGTATAAATATAGCAGAGATATATTTTAATTGTTTATTAATAAACAAGTGTTTTCTTTGTCAGCTAAGATGAAGATGACTGTTACAGTGTAGGCTCCCGCTCCGCCTCCTCTCCGCCACCAGAGGGAGCCTTCCCCGGAATATTGATCATTGGCTTTAAACTCAAATTCCCATCATGCCTCATACCTGGGACTGATTGCGTCTCACACCTGCACTGCATTTACACACACCCATAAAAGACACCTTCACACACCACACCAGTGCGAAGTCTTGATTTGCCCCGGTGATCATTTCTGAGCGTTTATATTCTGGTTTTCTGGTTTTGGACTTTGGACTGTTTGACTCTTCTTCGATTGATATCTGCCTGGCCTGAACTCGGACTGTTTACGGATTACGATTATTGCTGCCTGCCCTGATCTCTGCCTGTTTCCCGGATTACCCTGTTGTCTTATCTGCATTGCTCTGCCTCGTCTCGACCCTGCCTGTACGACTCTGTATAATAAAGCTGCAAATGGATTCCTCTGTTCCCTGTGGTTCATTACAGAAGACTTCGTCATCTTCTAATCCAGCAGCCGTCAAGCAGTTAACCACCGAACTCATAACCCAAGCTTCTCGTTTGGATCTGCAACAGCTCAGTCACCTGACCACTCTCACCGAACAACTGGTACAGGAAATGCAGGAGCTTCGCACCACCATAGGTGTCGCACCCAGCACGCCCGCTCCACCTCCATTACAGAGAATTCATCCTGAAACTGAGTACAGCAGTCAATCCACGACTTTCATTTCATGACAAATTTGATGGTACACCAAGCAAATGCAAGGGTTTCCTGTTACAATGCACTATCTTCGTTGACCAACAACCTGCATTGTACTCCAGTCATGGGAGTCGAATTGCTTTTGTGTGCTCGCTGCTCACCGGCAGAGCATTGGAGTGGGCTACGGCTGTCTGGAAGCCGGAGGGAAACACGTTCACCACTTTCCAAGAATTCACCCAACAGTTTCGTCAAGTTTTTGAGCATACCACCGGAGAAGGAGATGCCGGTGAACAAATGGTAAATGGTAAATGGTAAATGGACTGCATTTATATAGCGCCTTCATAGACCTAATGGCCACCAAAGCGCTTTACATTTGCCTCACATTCACCCATTCATACACTCATTCACACACCGACGGCGGTGTCAGCCATGCAAGGCGCCATCCAGCTCGTCGGGAGCAGCTGGGGTTAGGTGTCTTGCTCATGGACACCTCGACACTTGGTCAGGTGGAACCGAGGATTGAACCACCAACCTTTCGGTTCGTAGACAACCCACATGAACCACTGAGCCACTGCCGCCCCTACTCCTAACTCCTCCTAAATCTCACACAAGACAAAGAAACCCCCGCTGATTATGCTCTCACTTTTCGCAGACTCGCTGCACAAACTAACTGGGTCAAAGATACACTGAAAACGCTCTTCAGGAGAGGACTTACCACTGAACTTCAGTCCGAGCTAGCCTGTCGCGATGAGGGGAGGAATTTAAACGATTATATCGCCCTGGCCATTCAAGTCGACAATCTGATGCGTTCCAGGCGCAATCCCCGGGCAGCAATCCGTACTTCATTCAAGGCAACAACCACTCACGAACCCATGCAGCTGGGATTCATACATATCACTCCAGAGGAACGAGAACGTAGATTCCAGAACCGATTATGCATGTATTGCGGTCAACCCAGACACATGAAGCTCTCCTGTCCTGTTTGACCTTCCACTCATAATCCATCGGTGAGTTCTCAAGATAAAGGGAGAGTCTCCACTAATAGTCTCACAATTCCAGTTTGTTTGACCATCCAAGATAAAGTGTTTGAAACCACAGCCTTCATTGATTCGGGAGCAGCAGGAAATTTCATTTCTCAAACATTTGCCGAACAGTGTAACATCAAACTGAATCCATGTCATTTTTTCCTTAACAGTGGAGGCGCTAGATGGACACCCCATCAGAGAGGGAAAGATCCAGTGTATGACGGAAAAGATCAAGATGCACGTAGGATCTCTTCACTCTAAAAACATTCTTTTTTTGTGTCATTCACGCTCCACATCATTCCATCATTCTGGGACATCCATGGCTTCAAAACCATAATCCTCACATCTCTTGGCGAGAGGGTCAAATCATTCGCTGGGATGAAACCTGTAAGAGTCACTGTCTGTCCAAAGTTACCCGAGTAACCCGATCCATACCAGCGTCTTGCACAACAGTTATTGGTAACAATCAGGTATTATACCTGAGCTCGAAAATTTACCTTCTGTTTATGCGGATCTGGTTGAAGCCTTCAGCAAGGAGAAAGCGGCTCAACTCCCTGAACATCGTTCAACTGATTGTGCCATAGATTTGATCCCCGGAGCGACTCCCCCAAGAGGAAGAATTTTCCCTTTATCCAAACCAGAGTCTGAAGCAATGAAACAATATATCGAAGAAGAACTCGCTAAGGGCTTCATTCAACCTTCCACTTTACCAGCCGCTGCCGGGTTTTTCTTCGTAAAGAAGAAGTATGGGGGACTCAGACCTTGCATTGATTACCGTGGATTGAATGATATCACAGTTAAATACCGTTATCCACTGCCTCTTGTTCCAGCAGCATTAGAACAGCTCCGCCAGGCCAAGTACTATACCAAACTCGACTTACGTAATGCTTACAACTTGATTCGCATTCGAGAAGGGGATGAGTG